ATTAGACGAGAAAAACACAGCTGACTCCGGGATAGTGACTGTGCGCAGTTCAGATGTTGATTCTGGTGGTGGTCTGGGGCAGAGTTCGAAGGATGCTGCTGACCTACATACTAAGCTTGTACAGTTTAGCCCGCAGACACCAGACATGGACAGATACGGAAATAATACTGGCGACGGGTTGTCACAGGAGCGACAAGGTCCCTTGTCCGATCACTACTGGCAAGAATCTGTATCTAGTAAACCACTGAGTCGACCAAAGTATTGGTATGATGACGGGACATACCAACCGCGCAGCAAGTGTTCAGACACAAACGAAGCAAAGACCAGGCGAACACCATCATTTAATATCAAGCCTGCAACCTACGACGGCAGTGGGTCATGGTTGGACTACAAGGCCCATTTTGAATCGTGTGCTGCATTGGCAAATTGGACCGAGGATGAGAAGGGGTTATACTTAGCTGTTTCCCTCAGGGGCCAGGCACAAGGAGTACTCGGTAACCTCCCAGGTGGACCATTGAAGAAATATAGGGACCTGGTATATGTTCTCAGTGAACGGTTTGCTCCACCAAACCAGAATGAACTCTATCGTGCGCAGCTATGAGAAAAGCGGCAAAAGGCGACCGAGTCATTACCGGAGCTGGGACAAAGTATACGGAGGCTAGCGAATCAAGCATACCCGACCGCACCATCCGATGTCATTGAGGTACTAGCAAAAGAACAGTTCATTGACGCCTTGATAGACTCGGACATGAGATTGCGGATTAAACAAGCCAGGCCAGCTAGTCTCAATGAAGCTATACGCCATGCCGTTGAATTGGAGGCCTTCATCAAGTCAGACCAGAAACACAGGGAGTCGCAAGGGTTCTTAAGGCCCATAGCTCAGAAGGAGGCTAATGACCAAGAAACTGATCAGGGAATGAAAGCATTGACTGCAGTTATGACTGAGATACAAGAATCCCTGGCAGGCCTAAAGACCCAAGTAGCAGACTTGGAGTCTAAACAGCGCAATTGGCGACCAGCACCTAAATTCCGTAACAAAGGTACTGACGGTAAATGTTTCAATTGTGGTGAAAAAGGCCATTTTCAAAGGAATTGCCCGGAGACGAGAAAGGATAACCAGCAAGGTAATAAGAAAGGAAAAGCCAATGGTGCGAAAAAGAAAGAGCAAGCTGGTGTGAATAGACAAGCTGGGGAGCCAGGAATTTATGTTAATGTGGAGATCCATGGAGTAAAAGGAAAATTTCTAGTGGACACGGGGTCGACTTTGTCGCTGGTATCTGAATGTTTGTTCACGGCAATATGCAGTCGAGATAGGTATCAGCATCCCTTGACAAAGGTGCCCCGCGACATTTTGTCTGCGAATGGAGAACCACTGATAGTAAGCGGTCATACAGTGTTACCAGTATTAATTGATAACCACTTGTACAAGAAGGGACTGGTGGTAGCCAGACTATCAGTAGACGGAGTCCTTGGGTTGGACTCCATGAACGAGGAAAAATGCGTTGTCGATGTGGTGAAACGGAAACTCGCAATTGGACAGCAGGAGGTTGAGTTGCTCAGTGAGGGAAGAATAGGTTGTTATCGAGTGGCTGTTGCTGATACTCTTAACATCCCCCCAGAATCTGAGATGGTTACCTATGGACAGGTCATTCTTCCTCCTGGTACCGCTGTGCCCAAGGGTGTTAGCATTATCGAACCTGCACCAAAATTCCTGGATACTGATCGAGCTTTGGTAGGAAAGACTTTGGTCAGCAATAGTGAAACAGTCCCATTGCGAATTATGAATGTATCTCCAGATGTGAAAGTGGTGCATGCAGGGACGGTTGTGGGGTCTCTCACACCGATAGACAGTGTTATGTCTTGTGAAACAACCAGCAAAGAAAAAGAGGCTCTAACTCCGGTACTTCAAGATCTGTTAGACAGGACCAGTGAAGGGCTAACTAGAAATCAAGTGAAGCAGGTACGCGCATTGTTAGTTCGACATTCCAATGCCTTTGCAAAGGATAATCAAGACATTGGAAAAACCGGTGTCGTGAAACATTCAATCAGCGTTGGTGATCATCCACCGGTAAAACAACCCCTTCGGAGGCTTCCGGTTCATGCAAAACAAGCCGTAGACGAGCATATTGATGATATGTTGGACAGGGGGATAATCGAACCTTCAACTAGTCCTTGGTCGTCTGGTGTCGTCCTCGTAAAGAAGAAGGATGGGAGTACCAGATTTTGTGTGGACTACCGGCGCCTTAATGACGCAACCATCAAAGACGCTTACCCTTTACCAAGGATTGATGAATCCCTTGACCAGCTGTCTGGAGCATGCTGGTTCTCTACCCTCGATTTGTGCTCCGGATATTGGCAAGTCGAGCTGGAGGAGGGAGATAAACCAAAAACTGCTTTTTCGACCAAACGTGGCCTTTATCAATTCAAGGTAATGCCGTTCGGGCTGTGCAACGCCCCGGCTACGTTTGAAAGGCTGATGGAAACCGTGTTGCGGGGACTGCAGTGGGACATCTGCCTCATATACCTTGACGATGTGATTGTCACTGGGAGAACTTTTGGAGAAATGTTAAGCAATCTGGAGAAGGTACTTCAGCGTTTGTCAGCTGCCGGTTTAAAACTAAAAGCGAAAAAGTGTACGCTGTGTGCTAGAAATGTTGAGTTCCTTGGACATATTATTTCGCCTGAAGGAGTTTCTACAGACCCTGGCAAGATACAACTAGTGAAGGATTGGCCAGAACCAACAACTGTAACTGAGGTCCGATCATTTCTTGGACTGTGCGGCTATTACAGGCGGTTCGTCAAGGACTTCTCTGCCATCGCCAAACCATTACATCGGCTTACAGAAAAACACAAACGTTTCATATGGACTAAAGAGTGCCAAGAAGCCTTTGATTGCCTCAAAGCAAAGCTGTGCCAGTCCCCGATATTGGCATACCCAGACTTCACTAAACCATTTGTGCTCGACACAGATGCAAGTGACCTTGCTATAGGAGGTGTACTTGCCCAAGTCCAGGATGGACACGAGAGAGTTATTGCATACGCAGGTCGAACACTGTCAAAGTCAGAGAGGAAATACTGTGTTACAAGGAAAGAGTTGCTCGCCGTTGTCTTCTTTGTCAAGTGTTTCCGCCATTACTTGTATGGAAAACATTTTCTCCTTCGTACAGATCACAGTTCCCTGCGTTGGCTCCTAAATTTCAAGAACCCAGAGGGCCAACTTGCAAGATGGTTGGAAGTTCTGAGCATGTATGACATGAAAATCGAACATCGACCAGGATCCCAACACTCAAATGCAGACGCACTTAGTAGGCGACCTTGTCGGAAGTGTAAGTTCAATCCTGAATGGGACAAGGTAACAAAACTGTCTGTTGGTGGCGTGACAGAGACTGGGTCTAGCAAACAAGAAGAGTCCGACAGGCAACAAGATGAAACCGGGGGAAAATCCTTGTCAATGCTCCAGAAAGAGGATCCAGATATTATGTTAGTTAAGAAGTGGGTAGAGGACACTACCAAACCAAACACCAAAGACGTGCACATGGGTGGTGTAATGGTGAAGTCCCTTTGGTCACAACGGGATATGTTGATAGTCGCGAATGACATACTGTACCGCAAATGGCAAGACTCTAAAGGCAAAACGTTGCAAGCGGTTGTACCAATGACTGAGCGAAGGAGCATATTGAAGATGTGTCATGATCATCGGACCTCTGGTCATCTGGGAGTAAAGAAGACCTTGAGCAAGGTAAGACAAAGCTTCTTCTGGCCTGGTCTACAGAGAGATGTGAGACAATATATAGCAGGCTGTGAAGTGTGCTCAAGAAAAAAAGGGCCGATGAAAACTCCGAAAGCACCTATGCAAGTAGTTGGTGCCGGTATGCCCATGGAAAGGATAGCAACCGACATACTTGGAGATTTGCCATTGACTAGCAAAGGGAATCGTTATGTATTAGTAGTGTCTGACTATTTTACGAAATGGACTGAGGCATTTCCAATGCCAGACATGACTGCAGGGACCGTGGCTGATATCATTGTTAGAGAGGTTGTCACTAGGTTTGGCGTACCAACGGTGATACACTCGGATCAGGGAAAACAGTTTGAGGGACAACTCTTCTCACAAATGTGCGAGGTATTGCACATCAAAAAGACTCGAACCACTCCCTACCATCCGGAGGGAGATGGTATGGTTGAGCGGTTCAATCGTACGCTGATTTCCATGCTGGCTTCCTACGTCAATGACCACCACACGGACTGGGATGACCATCTGCCTTTTGTTACTATGGCATATAGATCTGCAGTTCACGAAACTACTGGCAGTAGCCCTAACGCCCTTATGCTTGGTAGGGAAGTATCAACGCCAATGGACATTATGTATGAGCTACCCCAAAACGCAAAGAAAATTCCAACAAACCAATGGGCTTGGGAACTAAAGGAAAAAATGGAGAGAGCTCATGCTCATGTCAGAAAACATACAAATGCAGAAATGCTACGACAAAAGATCTGGCACGACCAAAAGCTCAGCTGGCAAACCTTCTCGGCTGGAGACCAGGTCTATGTTTACTTCCCGAGGTATCTACCAGGCCGTTCTTCAAAACTTACAAGTTATTGGAGAGGACCATTTGAGGTAGTAAGCAGATGTTCAGATGTCACCTACAAGGTACTGTGTGGGACTCGCGGTGCACCACAAATAGTTCATGTAGATCGCATGCAACTGAAGAAAAGACAAGAGCTAACAGGCGAGCAAACATCGGACACAGGACCGATGAAAGGTACCTCAGAACCTAAGGAGGGGGAGGTCAAAGACACAGGACAAGGTCCCCAAACTGTTAGGGATGATATCATACCCCGTACCTCTGGGGATGATTGTGAAATCGTCGAGGCGAGTGAGGGCGAATGGGGAAACCCATTCACGTCCCGACGTACGAGACGGCCACCCCGCTGGCTGGCCGAATATGTTACTAATTTTGATTAGTTAGAGTACCAATAGTATTCTTGTATTCCTGATTTTGTAAGTTGTGAACCATTTTCATACATCATCTGAATCCTTTCTTCCCTTTTTTGTATGTTGTAGAGATGGTGAAGACAAAGACCACTCACAGGAAGGAACAGAAATGTCCCATGTGTGCATTCACTAGTGTAGATATTGAAAGGATGAAGGAGCATATTCTCATGTGTGGTCTGAAGGAAATGGAGAAGAAATCCTTCGTATGTGAAGAATGCCCATTTGCTACCACCTCGGCAAGCAATCTTCTCCGGCACACGAAGAGAAGACACAGTGTAGAACAGACGGCACAGCCGGGACCCTCACGTGAAGGAGGTAGCTATTCTACAGTGAGAGAGGAGGAAGACTCGTGGAAAGACAATGACCCTGGTGATCTTGCTAGCATCCTAGGTGATGTGTCGGACTCTGACAATGGGGAAGACCATGATGAGTCTGCTGCTGGCGAGGAACCTGATGTAGAGGCCATCCCTGATCCAACGGTGAGGAAGCATACACGGCCAGATCAAGTGTTCACCCCTAAACGGGCGCCAGAGAAATTGAGTCCCAAGGATCCCAGGAATTGTATCCCACAGAAAGTCCCAAGGGTAGAGAGGCCTCCTACCAATCTCCATCAAGTTCCTAGGGTGTCAAAGGCGATGGCGAGTGTGTCTACTCAGACAAAGCCAGTTATAGAGAGGCATGTGGTCTGGAAAACGACAAGGTACACAGAAGGAGATAGGGAAATCGAGCTGGTTGAGATGCATGAGACGGAGACCTCCTGTGGTGTATGCGGACTGTTAGATGATTGAAGAAATGTGGACGGAAGTGTTTGTGTCCTTCAGACCTACTGAAAGTTGTACTTTTATTACATATTGGAGACTGTTAGTGTGATCATCGGTGTTTTAGATAGTCTTTAAATGTTCTATTTGTCATGCGGGACGCATCGACTTAAGGAGGGGGAAGTGTGACGATTTTATTCAGTTAGAGTTATCTCCCTTCATGTAACGTTTTGTATACGTCCTGTTTTGTATCATTCCCCACCTACCTAATTATTTTAATTATCGATGATTGACTTATGTTTTCATGAAACTAGTGTTTACTAAATGTGTAATCATACCTGTATAAATAAATAAAAACATTTGTCTTGCGTATTTGTGGGTTTTGGTGCTGTATTAATTGAGAAGGAAAATACTGGAGACACCCAGAATAATGCATAAGATTTTATGTAAATACTGGTTGAAACCAGTAAAAGAAAAGAAGATTTTGACAGACGGAAGAAGGTCGGCTATATCACAGGTAATAAAGTATTATAGCACACAGTTCAATTATACTGTTACCAGAAGCTCCTGAGTAAGGGGTTGCCTGAATAAGGCAGCTCTGGTAACAGTTATTGTTACGTGTGGTCGGTGCCAGTACGTTGACGTGTCAGGTACGCCAGAATCTCCTGAAAAGGGGTTGCCTGCAAAGGCTACTCTGGTACGCCTGACTACTGATACAGTACTTGGCACAACACTTTGTACTGTGATAATAACAGGACACTGGCAGGCGACGTCGGAGCTGTACGGTGGTCGGCTCAGTAATAAGGGACGTGCTTGCAGTGTTGTAGTGCTGACAGTCTGTTAGTGTTGCGGTGTGTGGTAGCCTTGTTGGGCAACATACGCCTAGGCGACGTGATACGTACCGCGGACACATTGTTGGCTCGTGTATGGTGACATGGTGGACAGAGGTACTGTCCTTCTCTGTTGTAGTGTATAGATATATTGTTTATTAAATTGAGTAATTGTTCAACTGCTCAGCCAGGTAGCTGAGGAATTCCAATCGCTTCCGGAGCAGGTAGCTCTGTCTAAATTGAGAGACCCGGCGTGCACGCGCGCTACCATAGGGTGCACGTTACAATATCAATAAATTAACACAAGGTATATAGCAATGTTGTTGATGTAAAGGCTTCAGATTTGAATAACCTATTTTACATGTACCCGACTTTTGTGTGTGCTATTTGTAAAATTCCTGTCTATGTATATATATATATATATATATATATATATATATAGTAATAAAGTGATGAATTCTCCGTGCCCAGCAAAAATATAAAAAAATTAAAAGATTGGAAAACACGATGAGCTGTAAAACATAAGTATCTATGTACATTATGTAAAACATCTGATGAAGAAATGAAAGCGGATATGTTTTACAGCTCATTGTGTTTTCCAATCTTTTGATTATATATGTATATATATATTGCGATCTATGTTATCATATCACGTAATAAAACAACTTGCCACGATCATCAATTTTCAGAATTTCAAGTTGTTGTTCAACTTCACAACATCCTTTTTGGGGGGATGTCGTGGTGGTGTAATGATTAGGCAGTTTGGAATGTCTTAGCTCGGTGATTGGTGCTGTAGATTGGATTAGGCAGAGTTTAAAATTTGACTTCCTTCTTCACTTGTGTTCCAGTGTCTAAAATATTATTAGATTAACATAATGCATCATATACAGTAATTTTGTTGATCCGAAAATTCCGGATTTGAATTCTCTGTTGTCTCTGTTGTCTTCAGTAGACTGAACTACTAGTATATTACCTTCGCGGAATCAAAATGAAATGTAAAGGTCAAACTTATGTACACTGCTGATAAATAATAAAGAGTACTGTATAAAGACAAACACATCAATAACAATTTCCAATACAAATTAAAAGTATATCCAATTATCAAATCAAACTGCATGATACGGCTTCCTTTTTTCGCATTATTTGTGTCATGTAATCATTCAACTTTCCAGTGGCTGGAATCCCAGTATGGATCTCTATCGTAACATTGATGGGCGTTGTAGTAATCTATACAATAATTGTAAGTGTGGCTTATAACCCTTCCTTAAAGCGTGTGTTACAGACACCCAACAATACAAACTTTAAATTAATTCCAGAATATATTTGAAATAATGAAATAATAGTATTATTGTTGTACCCTTCTTGGACTCGTCATTGATTCGAAGGGTGAATGTTTTAACCCTACGGAAAGGTCAGAATCAACAGATCACAAAGAACATGTGTCTATTTTTCAAAGTGTCACAGTTCAAATAAGTTGCACGTGGTTTGCAGGTTACATCGAAATACCAGCAGTGGCTATCTTCTATCAATGACTGCACAAGTAAAAAGGTCAAAATAGGTTAAGAGAGTCATTCTTACAACCAATTCTGTTTTGATTTTTATAGTACATTTAATAAATATCAATATGTTTACTTTTGTCATTCACATTGAACGATCTATAGATATTTCACAGGGAGTTTGCCTCAAAACCTTATGTCTTGTTTGTTAAGGACGACTTTTCATTGTAGGGAGGTTTCCAAGCAGTCGTCTGGACAGACGTTTTCCAAGCCTTCTTCATGTTTGGCGGTATATTTGCCATCCTTATCAAGGTAAACAACACTTCAATTGACCTCTATTTAATTCATTCATTTCATATTTAAGGATATTCTTTCTATAGTTATAGAGTCGTGCTGAAGGTCTTATAGTAATAGGATTACGAAAAAGTCACGTGTTTGTTGATATCAAGAAATACCGAGTTTCTTAGTATCTAGCTTTTTTTGTTTGCTCTGTAATATTATGAAGAGCACACATATTGTGTTCGTGATTTGTTACTTTTTTGTCGATAAATATGTAAGAGAATGTCAGTTTAATTAACTTATATAATTTGCTCGTGCGGTTGCTGGTTTGAGAGAATATATTGATATTTTTCACGAGTGTGAAATCTCTTTTTTTTTCATTTTGATGCATACGTCGACGTGTATTTACATTGGGCTAATTACAGTGTTAAAGCACAACAAACAAATTAAGGCCATAGTTACCTCAATGCACACTAATGCACCTAGTGACGTAAGCAAGAATTGCGCATTTATTATCTGCATGAGTGATGACAAGTCATTGTAATTCTATGTAAACCTGATCACCATGCCTAATATCGATAAATACAAACGTTGGGGTGACCAAGCTTGCCTTGGGACTCTACATACACCGCATTAGATAAAAAATACTAAATGAGAAAACATTCACTATTCTCTACGTTACCGTATTTTTGTAATAAATATGAATTACTCCTATGGTCGGTCAATACACATATCAAAATGAAGTAATTTAAATATATTTATTTCACAAGGGTACAATAGAGGCAGGTGGACTGACCAAAACATGGACCATAATAACAGAAAAGGGAAGAGTCAACCTACTGAAGTAAGTCGGACCACTTTTCAACATTTCTGCTCAATCTTTTGGTCACTTTGAATTTTTCTAAGACGCGTCCTTGGCATCACAGTTAAGGCCCATAGCATCACTGAGGAGCCCTGGAAGGACGAAACAGCGGCATGATGCACTTTGATTTATCTTTTTGCTCAAAGTTATCTAAATTAGTGTCTGTTGTACAATCTTCCTTAAGTTTCTCCACCCTTGGACACCGGTTACTGAGAAGTTAAGGAGTCTGGTGTCGTTATCATTAGTTTCTAGCCCCGTCCCATCTCTAGATTGCGGGTTCCAGGCCTACGTGCAGTAGTAACCAAGTATTAGTCACAGGTCGGTCGTTTTCCCCCCGGGAACTCCAGCTTTCCTCTTCCACTAAACCTGACACATAGCCTCGACTGTTAGAAGGGCGTAAAGCAACTGATATCAACTTCTAGAAAAACGAAACTGCTGCTGTAGAAAGTGGTATTTATATATATTTATTATCTAACAAACGCCTTCGTTTCATCAATAATGAGATTGAATTGATATTATTATATAAATTTGATACATAGAAACAATAACACAGATTGGTGACACAACATTAGTCCGCTCATCCGACTCTCCACACTAAGGAATAAATACAACCAACTTTCTAAGTTGTTCATTAAATGCTGACAGAGTCTTTAATTTAGTCAGATTTTAGTCAGATAGTTTCTGAATGTTGGAGAAAGCCGTTTACTTCCTATTTAGGAATTTTCTTGATGTTTTTTTATACACAATTTTCGAGGATTTAGTTTGTATCTAATTACATGTGCGAAATATAATTAACCAAAGAGGTATATATTTATTAGAAAATATCGATGCAAGAAATCCTTGGCGCTTTTCGTATGTGAGACGACATATTTTCTCTCTTTTAAAAAATGAAAACCAATTACCTTAAACTTGAAATAGGATAAACGGGAAATCAGATATCCCCTCATCTCGATTGAGAAGCTTTCCATATCTTACATCTCCAACAATTGAGGTTTATTTTGCTAAGTTAATTTGGATTGTTGAAGACATTTAGTATATTTTTATTTCAATACTGAAGATTAAAAGGATAATTTGTCAGTCAAGATATTTCCAATGAATCAACAGGTTGCAAGCTTTAAGTCCATTATGTGATAAAAGTTCCATCAATCCAGCTGTTGGAGACGTATGGCGTTTGTGGGTTTTTTATTGACCACATAAAACTTCTACAAACATGATTTTGAAGTGATTGCTCAACTTGCTATAACAACAAACAGTCTGAATCAAAAATGTCGACCGTTATGTGTTATTTACGTTATATTAGTAGCTTTGTTGACAAATTTATCACTGTTTTTTTATCAGCGAATAGGTTATGATCATAAAAAAGCAGAACATAGTTTATTTACTATGTTTTGAATAAAACCTGGAAACGACGTACTGAAATAATTTCGCTCATGATACATAGATTCATTTTGCAAAATATCTTACAGTTCTGTTTATTGTAAAGTAAGATATAATCTTCTACTTCGCCCAAAACGAATTGATTTCGTCGACATATTAAAACCGAAGTACTTTATCTCTACTCGTTTTCTTCCAAAATACAATACAAATACAATGATGGGTGGTTAGGTTATTGTCAGTGTACTGTTACCGGTTGTATTTTTTTTTTTTCAATTACCTTTACTTCTTGTCCTGTCTCAAAGCTTTGATCCTGATCCAACCCTGCGTCAGTCATTTTGGAGTTTGATGATCGGTGGTATTACAAGTGGACTTGAACTACAGTTTAGTCAGGCGACTTTCCAAAGAATAAAAGCAACACCGACATTATCAACGACTAAAAGGTTTTTGTTAATTTTCTGTACATCTTTATGTATATTGTAGGAAAATTGTAATCGGGTTTAAAGTTTATTGATAAGTTAAATATTTTTGTCTCCAAGAATACAAAATGTTCGGTGGTGGATTATAATCATTAATATTATCCTAAACATATTGTTGTATAAAGCATGAGTACAGCATAAGCATACCCTGAAACAGAACTCAATCTAGACCAACAGCGAACTGTACCACTGAGAACAATACCGTCCCATACTGGTGATGATAGGGGCTGTAAATAGATGGAAAACCTAGGTACCTGTAAGCTTTTATTTCAACAGAAATACTCTGCAACAATGAAAGAGCAGTCATTTAGACAAAGGCAAGAAAAAAAAAATCTGAAAATTCTGCGGATATGCCATCAAGGACAAAATATCGTCAGTGTGTTTTCTTCTTGTAGTCATTAAAAATCCAAATGCTATTACGTCAGATTATGGAGACGTATAAATATCTTATTCTGCAGTCACTAAACATCATTTTATGTAATGTAAAGACACTGAGTTTTTACATAACAAAACATTTCCGTTATATTTAATCTAATTCTATTTATTGACTTCTCCGTTTTAGAATGTTTATTCTAGCTTCGGTATTGTCTTTGTTGATCTCTGGTCTGGCGGTAATTGAGGGCGGTGTCATGTTCGCCTTCTACCATTCAAAGAGCTGCGACCCTCTTGAAGCCAAGCAAGTTCTTAATGAGAACCAGGTAACACAATATGGTTTGATAGATACCAGGAAATTACGAATTTTATTGAAATAAGGGAAAGGTACACCTGCGCGTCTATTTTTTTCATTTTCTTGCGATCACTTTGAATTTCCGTCAGTCGCCTCCGAGGAACTCGTTAAACCGACGTTCTGTACTGTTTTTGATTATTGTAAAAAACGATTATAACCGAGTCTATTTGATAGGCAATGTACACACAGCATAAAGTACACAGTTATATGAAAGGTTGCATATCTTGTATGATATCTATTTAGAGAGTTTAAGTATCGTAAAATGTTCTCAACCTTCTTTTTATTTCAGCTGATAGCTAAAATGGTACGAGACATATTCCACGACACGCCTTGTCTACCAGGGCTGTTTCTTGCGGCTGTTTTTAGTGCATCTCTGAGGTAATGTTATATATTTAGGATGTCAATTCTGTCACCATGCCGATTTTCTGGATTTGTACAAACCTAGGAAATGTCCTCTGATAACAATGATAGTTTTTCTTCAATTCTCCACTATGTCGTTTTACGGTCGTCATAGATTTCTTTGTGTGATATGAACGTGGGCGTGTTTGCGCTCATTAGTTTGCCTGCTGGTTCCGTTGTTGTATACCTCGTTTGAGAACTTGACATTACTCACTTAGATTGACCACGATTTACATGGTAAGTGTCGTCGACGAAGCAAAAGATGCTTACTCTTTCTGAACACATGGTCTTATTCTCCTTGTACTTTTTCACGAGTCTCCGTGTAGATTTCTCTTTTGTTCAAATATTTCCCCTGGTTTCATTGAATTCGAGTTTGGATTATGGTTATGTTGATATGGCGGTATTTTTTTTTATCTTTTCATCTCTTACACAGTTTTAATTCCGTTCCTCTTGTTCCCGAATATCATCGTCTTTCTCTTGCATTTTTTCAGTTTCCACGTTCGGGTTCAGAAGATGTATTATTTAACTGAGCGCTCTTTCCTGAAAGTTCCTGTTTTGATTGTCTTATTTCTAATTTCAGCAGTTTGATTTCCTTACGTTGGTTCTATACTAATGTTTCAAGTTGACTTTTGATATCATCTCGCGTGTTTAATGTAAACAGGACAGTCGTGCTGTCACGTCCACGCTTTCACATCTATTTATTGTGTTTACATGTATACCTGTAGTCGCCGGGTAGGAGGCTCCTGTGGGATCTTTTTGAAAAAAAAATGGTATTAATTTCAACTAGATCACCTTTTTTCGTGCAAGACGTTGCCAACTGACGGACAAACTCGTAACACAGGTATCCAAAAGACACAGGTTGGTGAAAACTTTGGGTAATTTTATGGTCGTCATAGTGATCTCATTCTAACAATTATATTTCTTTGTGCAGGACGTGTTTGATGCTCGTTAGTTTGCCTTTAGATTCCGTTGTTGTATACCTTGTTCTCTTTCGAGAATTGGATTGACAAATATTTACATGACGATTGCTGTCGAGGAGGCAGAAGACGCTTACTCTTCCCGGACACATACTTATTTTTCTATTTTTCTTGTACTTTTTCAGGAATATCAGTGTTAATTTTTCTTTGTTGATTTTTTGCTTAAGTTTTATTGAAACTGAATTAGGATTATGTTTACATGTTGGTATTTTCTTGTCGTTTTTCTACAGCGAAACCACCAGGCATACTAACAAGGTTTGAATACTTCTAACTTTACATAACTCAAATAGATATAATATCACGCATTAACATCATGGTACCGGTCATCGAAGCTCTCCATTATCTTCAATGATTGGAATCGCGATACTGGGGTGCATAGATTCATCCTCGTATGTAAAAATAAAATTAGATAAATAAGTTTGTCTCCAATGTGATTTGCACTGTTACTGTACACCAGTACTCTGTTTGGTGATCTTACCAACAATCACTATAAAGTTATTGTGAGACAGATTACAACCAAATTCCTCTTGGCTTTAGCTATCAAAATCGAATTTCGTATTCGTCGAATAATTAAACACATATTTTTAATATCATGCAATGATTCATTATCAGGGTGTTTTGTTCTGTCCCGTTTCGATGATTTTGTATAGATGAGTACATTTGTTCCATAATTATTCACAGTTGAGTTAATATTATATAGAACTGAAGTCACTGGGTAAATGAATATCGTTCACACTCCAAGTATATTATATTAGTATCAGTATAGGGTATCATAAAGCATTCTGTACTTAATACATTGCTGTGTAGAAATAAGATTTATTCTATGTTTCATCATATATTCCCAACGTTTACTATATACAAGATCACATAATTTATACTCACGGCACGTACTAACGGTACATACTAACGGTTCATACGATACCCACTCACGGTACATACTCACGGTACACACTCATGGTACACACTCACGGTACACACTCACTGTACACACCCACAGTACATACTCACGGTACACACTCACGGTACACACTCACGGCACGTACTAACGGTACATACTCACGGTACACACTCACGGTACCCATTCACGGTACATGCTCACGGTACCCACTGACGGTACATACTCACGGTACATACTCACGGTACACACTCACGGTACATACTCACGGTACACACTCACGGTACGCACTTACTGTACACACCCACGGTACACACCCACGGAACACACTCACGGTACACACTCACGGTACATACTCACGGCACATACTCAATGTACTCACTCACGGTACATACTCACGATTACACACTCACGGTACATACTCACGATACACACACACGGTACACACTCACGGTACATACGGTACACACTCACGGTACATACTCACGGTAAATACTCACGGTACATACTCACGGTAAATACTCACGGTACATACTCACGGTAAATACTCACGGTACACACTCACTGTACACACTCACGGTACATACTCACGGTACATACGGTACATACTCACGGTAAATACTCACGATTACACACTCACGGTACATACTCACGATACACACACACGGTACACACTCACGGTACATACGGTACACACTCACGGTACATACTCACGGTAAATACTCACGGTACATACTCACGGTAAATACTCACGGTACACACTCACTGTACACACTCACGGTACATACTCACGGTACATACGGTACATACTCACGGTAAATACTCACGATTACACACTCACGGTACATACTCACGATACACACACACGGTACACACTCACGGTACATACGGTACACACTCACGGTACATACTCACGGTAAATACTCACGGTACATACTCACGGTAAATACTCACGGTACATACTCACGGTAAATACTCACGGTACACACTCACTGTACACACTCACGGTACATACTCACGGTACATACGGTACATACTCACGGTAAATACTCACGGTACACACTCACGGTACATACTCACGGCACATACTCACTGTGCACATTTACGGTACCCACTCACGGTACACACTCACGGTACCCACTCGCGGTACACACTCACGGTATATACTCACGGTATATACTCGCGGTACACACTCGCGGTACACATTCACGGTATATACTCACGGTACACATTCACGGTACACACTCACGATGTATATATGTTAACTTAAAATGATTGTGAAGTTTTCTGATAATTCTTCAGTTTTAATAGTTGGATATTTAACTAACATAACGATAGGTTCTGTTCAGATAAAATAATTTTACTGCAGGTCTCCAAACCAGTATAGGCTTCCAGTATGGTTTTGATGATGTGCCTTAATATCGACAAAAGTATATTGCATGAATAAAAAGGTCCTAATTTCTTCAATTTAACGGGTGTTCTAATGAAAACTTTCTGCAATGAAAACGTTTGAGAATAAATAAATCACCTTCATGCTACCTGTGTGTGTTTCCTGTAACAATGATATTAGGCATTTTACACTTTTAAACGTATAACAAAATTTTTCGTAAGTGGAAATTTGCCTGTTTCATTCTTAACGTGATATCTAATTTCTTCCAGTACAATGTCGTCACTGTTAAACTGCCTATCCGCGATTTTCTGGGAGGATATTGTCAAACGCCATACGAAACCGATGTCGGAGAAAAAAGCAGTTTTGATTACACAGTCGTCGGGTGATCTGTCTTCTATTTACCGATATGTTGATAAAAATACTACGACATAATTTAAGTCAATATATACGTTCAATGAGGTTTTATTGATAAACGAACATTCAGTTATGATTTGAAGGACATATATTTTACGCTATTGTCACGCTCTAATTTCTGTATTAAAGAGAAATTTTCATGATTTATTTTTGAAACATGAAACCCGTTTTTTTCAATTCCAATTTTGATAATTCTGGCTGCCTGCTTTCAGGAAAACATGTATTATGACGTTTTTCAAAAACATATGCTTGGTTTAAAGTTTCGTCAGCATTGAATTGGGATATTGCAGAAACATGATGTGAGACCTGCGATATTTCAATTACAGTGACAATTTTTAATAGCCTTATTCGGTAAATAACACACAAATACATAATTGATGTAATACATGGACAAACGATTAAATCGTGATCTTTATCGACTTGTAACTTCTGCAGAAAAAAATTGAGCATGGTCATCGAATAATATTTTCGCCAATTTTATCTTTCTCTGTCGTTGATTTAGAACCTTCCATTTGATTTCGCGTACATTTTGATCCGTTTCAGTCTTACTATTTGGAGGCCTGGCTGTATGTTTAGCCTTTGGTATATCTGGAATTGAAGGTCCTGTGTCAAGGGTAAGAACTCTACTTTTCTGTCATCAATTCACATTCAAACACACATATAATATTATTACCTTATGAACATCGTTCAACAGTATTTTTGAGCTCCCCAAAAAGTTTTTGGGGGGAGCATTTAGTTGTCATATCGTCAATCCGTTTGGACGTCCGTCTTTCCGTCCATTCTTTTCGTGACTGAAACATGAATATACTTGCATTTAGCGTAGAATAATGAAACTTGGTGTATGCATCCGTCATATTAATACAATTTGTACCAATGTCAGGACTATCAACCCTAAATAACAGAGTTATTGTCCTTTGTTAAAAATTAGTTACCAGTTCATGCATAACTGCATTTTGAAATTATGAAATTTACAACATAGTCAGTATAAATGTCCATCAAAAAACATTTCAAAGCCAATAATCTTTGATTGTCTCCATCACAATTTTTTTTACGAAATCATTAAAAAAAATACTTGTATTAGAAACTGTCCATACATTTAGTATCAGACTGAGAGAAATATGCTACTCCATTCACAATTCACGAGTAATTATGTGTCAACACAAACACGTGTGTCATATTTTAACATCATTCATTCCTCTTTTGGGGATCATTCATATCAGTTACACTGAAGGTACTCTTCTATATAACTACTATATAGTATGTTCATATTCTTATTATTTTTACCCCATTTTTATGTTTATTTTGATTCTGATGGGAATATCTGGGTCACGAAAACAGATCTATGTTAACATGTAACTTTAGCTGTGTGACATGTAACTGTTTCAAACAAATTAATACCAGAACAATGTTATATATATACTCGATATAACTGGAACTTATTTCTCAGCTTCACTGTTACAAATACTCGATATAACTGGAACTTATTTCTCAGCTTCACTGTTACAAATACTCGATATAACTGGAACTTATTTCTCAGCTTCACTGTTACAAATAATATAACTGGATACGATATAACTGGAACTTGTTTTTCAGGTTCACTGTTATAAATACTCGATATAACTGGATATTGTTTCTCAAATTACCTTTTTTCGATATAACTGGATATTGTTTCTCAAATTACCTTTTACAAATACTCGATATAACTGGATATTGTTTCTCAAATTACCTTTTACAAATACTCGATATAACTGGATATTGTTTCTCAAATTACCTTTTACAAGAACTCGATATAACTGGAGCTTGTGTTGCCGTTACACTAAACAATTAAACGATATATCTGGAGTACGTCTGTCTGGTTCATTTTTACAAATAATCGATATAACTCGTGCTTCTTTGATAAATACACTTTAGCAAATATCTCGAAATAACTCGAACATCTCGATGTATATGGAGCTTGTTTGGTAAACTTTTACAGATCCTCGATATAACTGGAGCTTGTTTGGTAAACTTTTACAGATACTCGATATAACTGGAGCTTGTTTGGTAAACGTTTACAGATACTCGATATAACTGGAGCTTGTTTGGTAAACTTTTACAAATCCTCGATATCACTGGAGCTTGTTTGGTAAACTTTTACAGATCCTCGATATAACTGTAGCTTGTTTGGTAATTTTTTACAGATACTCGATATAACTGGAGCTTGTTTATCTGGTACCCTTATAGGACTGTTCCTACTTGGTATGTTCGTGCCAAGAGCAAATTCATTGGTGAGTTTGACGCATGTGTTATTTCCTACATTTGGAATTAGTCGACATGTCATTGAAGAATAAGAAAATCATGTGTAATAGAAAAGTACATGTGTAGATATAAGAATAATAAGTATCAGATTTGTGTTACTGATACGTATCGTTTTAGTAAGTTACCTTTTCCTGTAATGTTCTGACAGAAAGATAACCTCTTTATCTTAAGGCAATCTGACCTCACACCCCTTTGTTTGACTTTATAAGAATGGTTCTATCTTCTGTAGACATTTTCACTGAATTAGTTTGTCGCCATAACGCATTTTTATTGTCATTGCCGATATACGTCACAGATTTGTGTAGACTGTATTGATGACGTATGTTTACAGGGTGCTTTAGTTGGTGGACTGGCCTGCTTCCTTTTCATTGGCTGGATCTCTCTTGGAAAGTTGATTTCGTCGGGTGTCCGTGTTAATGTCAAATTAGAGTCCGCATCAACAGAAAGATGTCCACAACTGGATACTTCTCTGATCACAAATTATACAACTACATACAACCAGACATCAACCATTACGATGCAGGATGTCACAGATCTGACATTACAGACAAACCAAACACTCATATTTTCTGAACCGTAAGTATTACACAAATATTTTTCTTAAAAAGATAAAAGAGCAAATTATATTTCTTCGGCTATCATATGTATGATTTTATATTATATTTATGGATATCAATATAAATATATTTGATTTCTAATGAGACCGTGATGTTTGAAGAGTTCTGAGTTCTGAACAATAGTATGTCTACTTGTATGAACCCTTGTATGCACCATTCACTTCTATTCCATTTGTATGATTATTTGAACACATCGTATTTTATATCAAATATGTAGAAATTATATCAATATCGAACTTTTTTGAAATACAAAAATGCACCAATTGATAAATAGATATAAATTTGATAATATCTTCTAGTTCCGGAATGATTGTCTGTCCTGTTTTGTGTTTAGTTTTCTATGGTTAAAAGAACTAAACACAAATAAACGTTACATGGTTCAATATGGCGCTCGTGTTTATGAATTGACGAAATAGTTGTATTATTCTGTTTATTAGGAAACTATCTGTCAAAACTAAAACATAAATTTATTTAATCGCATGAAAACTATTTTTGACTTTAATCTTGAATAGTATAATCGATCATCACGTGTTGTTTTTACGTTAAGCTTGTCTTCAGCCGAATCCGAATTGTTGTTTGACATGGTATATGTGTTACAATGTGTTCTGATAGGTATATGTGATACTGCATTATCATATAGTGGACATACCGTGGTATTTCAGTAGTACCTCTTGCTCTAGCATCTGCTGTAAATTAATAATTTAACTAGAATAAGGCCATGTTTAGCAATGTTTTTTTCACGTCGACTTTTCAACACGTCAGACTGAACGAGTAGAATTACGACTTGTACTTTTTCTATTTACAAAACTTTGGTTGAAAAAAACCGTCCTGATTTTCTCACTATTTTCTTTAGTTTTCTGTAACCGGAAACTAGTCAAACTTCTACATTCAGTAGACAAACACTGAATATTTCCTTAATAGTTGTCGGCAACACATCAAAACATGAAAGTTTGGGAGATGTATGTTGATAAAAAATAAGTTGTAGAATAAGTGACGAAACATTAGTATACCGTTCCTGGATGGCGTACATTGATCTGAGACCGTGATATTTGATTAATCTATTTTAAGATTTACAGGAGATTTAAATTTAATACGGTGGTGAGTTGTCTTCCTTTTGATTTAAATGTCATTAGAAGGAAAGTTGAGTATAAACCTACTGTTTAGATAGTTGTATGAACTTACAGACAAGGCCTGGATATTCTCTACTCCATATCCTACAAATGGTTACTGCCACTTGGTATAGTTTTGGTTTTCTCCGTCGGATCACTTGCCAGCCGTCTACAAGGTAAAAACTTTATCAAACTTACAATGGTTTATAAGTATACTCTGAAGTATGTCATTCATCTACGATTCCATTTTTAAAAGTGTAACTATTACATTTTTGCCAGGGAAATATATTGATATATAACAGATTGATAAAAGTGTTTTTTTTTTCACTAGAGAAGCAGCACTTTCGCAGATATACACCAATGAAAAGACAGAATATAAATAATGTTACAATATAGACAAATCGTAAAGCCCGCTACAAAAAATAAAATAAATATAAAAACACAAGAAACATGAAGGGGTTGTTTACGAGTGACATGACCTTTATGTCCATGGTGAAACTCAGATTACCTTATCAGAGATAAATACGGCACTCCCCCCCCCCCTCCCCCTAACCAAACGTCTTGAAAGCAGAGCTAGACATTTCAAGAGAATTCGTATCATCCACAGCGACAACTAGGTGGCTGACATAGTAACTTGTCACAGGTTAAATTCTCTCTGAATATTTACAGAAAATTATTGTTTGTTAGTGACATCAATAAATGTTTGAAGTGCTAAAGTTTTATCATTACGACCGATATCGAGACTTTAAAGGATCACTTTAGAATAAAAGATAATAGATTTAATGATCAGGGATAAGGATGCCTTATACCGGGGTATTTCTAGATCTGAATCTTAAACAAGTCATGTGACAACAGCTCTCTGTATAGAACTTTAAATTTCCGTTGTTTGTAATTGCGTTCAGTATCTAAATGTAAATTTAGTTTTTCTATATCGACATCAGTGATTGGTGTTTTATTGTCAATACGCTGAGAAAGAAGGGCTTAATAACAAAAGGAGTTAATTCGTTGGCAATAGGGAAAGGAAAAAAAAACAAAACAAAAACAAAAAAGCAGGAATATCTATAGAACTCACTCTTGAGATACTTTTTTTTTATCGAAAATGGAAGAAAAACATTAAAAAAGATAACTTGCATGTTAAAGAAAGAAACGTTTTTGTTTCTATCAAAAAAGTTCCTTATCAGCTTAAACTTTCTATAAAAAGCATGAATATTCCACTGATTAAAAACAGCATTGCTCAGATAACAAAATACTATACAAAGATAGATTTATAAACAAACGTAATAGTAAATAACTATTGATCTACTCCTTACCCAATTAGAAGTCTTCATTTACAAAAAACAAAAACAAAACAGAAAAGAAAAAAAAGAGCTGGTGTTAATTAATGAAACTATATTATCTTTGGTATTGTATATCTCAGACACCTGAAGATCTGTTGTTTAACGTACTCCGTCTGGTATTGTATAGCTCAGACACCAGTAGATTTGTGGTTTAACGTACTCCGTCTGGTATTGTATAGCTCAGACACCAGTAGATCTGTGGTTTAACTTACTCCGTCTGGTATTGTATAGCTCAGACACCAGTAGATCTGTGGTTTAACGTACTCCGTCTGGTATTGTATAGCTCAGACACCAGTAGATCTGTGGATTAACTTACTCCGTCTGGTATTGTATAGCTCAGACACTAGTAGATCTGTTGTTTAACGTACTCCGTCTGGTATTGTATAGGTCAGACACCTGTACATCTGTTGTTTAACGTACTCCGTCTGGTATTGTATAGCTCAGACACGAGTAAATCTGTTGTTTAACGTACTCCGTCTCGTATTGTACAGCTCAGACACCTGAAGATCTGTTTTTAACGTACTCCGTCTGGTATTGTATAGGTCAGACACTAGTAGATCTGTTGTTTAACGTACACCGTCTGGTATTGTATAGCTCAGACACTAGTAGATCTGTTGTTTAACATACTCCGTCTGGTATTGTATAGCTCAGACACAAGTAGGTCTGTTGTTTAATGTACTCCGTCTGGTATTGTATAGCTCAGACACCTGTAGATCTGTTGTTTAACGTACACCGTCTGGTATTGTAAAGCTCAGACACCTGAAGATCTGTTGTTTAACGTACTCCGTCTGGTATTGTATAGCTCAGACACCAGTAGATCTGTGGTTTAACTTACTCCGTCTGGTATTGTATAGCTCAGACACCAGTAGATCTGTTGTTTAACGTACTCCGTCTGGTATTGTATAGCTCAGACACCAGTAGATCTGTGGTTTAACGTCCTTCCTTTGGTATTGTATAGCTCAGACACCAGTAGATCTGTTGTTTAACGTACTCCGTCTGGTATTGTATAGCTCAGACACTAGTAGATCTGTTGTTTAACGTACTCCGTCTGGTATTGTATAGCTCAGACACCTGTACATCTGTTGTTTAACGTATCTGGTATTGTATAGCTCAGACACAAACTGTTGTTTAACGTACTCCGTCTGGTATTGTATAGCTCAGACACCTGTAGATCTGTTGTTTAACGTACTCCGTCTGGTATTGTATAGCTCAGACACGAGTAAATCTGTTGTTTAACGTACTCCGTCTGGTATTGTATAGCTCAGACACCAGTAGATCTGTTGTTTAACGTACTTCCTCTGGTATTGTATAGCTCAGACACCAGTAGATCTGTTGTTTAACGTACTCCGTCTGGTATTGTATAGCTCAGACACCAGTAGATCTGTGGTTTAACGTACTCCGTCTGGTATTGTATAGCTCAGACACCAGTAGATCTGTTGTTTAACGTACACCGTCTGGTATTGTATAGCTCAGACACCAGTAGATCTGTCTGGTATGTTTAACGTACTCCGTCTGGTATTGTATAGCTCAGACACTGGTAGTAGATCTGTTGTTTAACGTACTCCGTCTGGTATTGTATAGCTCAGACACTAGTAGATCTGTTGTTTAACGTACTCCGTCTGGTATTGTATAGCTCAGACACAGTAGATCTGTTGTTTAATGTACTCCGTCTGGTATTGTATAGCTCAGACACCGGTTTTAGATCTGTTGTTTAACGTACTCCGTCTGGTATTGTATTCAGACACGTAGATCTGTTGTTTAACGTACTCCGTCTGGTATTGTACAGCTCAGACTCAGACTTTGGTATTGAAGATCTGTTTTACTTACCTTTTTTAACGTAGCTCAGACTCCGTCTGGTATTGTATAGACACCTCAGATCTGTTTTTTAACGTACTCCGTCTGGTATTGTATAGCTCAGTTTAACACTCCGTCTGGTATTGTATAGCTCAGTAGATCTGTTGTTTAATGTACTCCGTCTGGTATTGTATAGCTCAGACACAACTCCTGGTATTGTAGCTACATCTGTTGTTTAACGTACTCCGTCTGGTATTGTATCTGTTGTTTAACGTACTCCGTCTGGTTTTGTATAGCTCAGACACCTGAAGATCTGTTTGTTTAACGTACTCCGTCTGGTATTGTATAGCTCAGACACGAGTAGCCCAGACACTGTTGTTTTACTTACCTCCGTTTGGTATTGTATAGCTCAGACACCTGAAGATCTGTTTTTTAACGTACTCCGTCTGGTATTGTATAGGTCAGACACTAGTAGATCTGTTGTTTAACGTACTCCGTCTGGTATTGTATAGCTCAGACAACAGTAGATCTGTTGTTTAACGTACACCGTCTGGTATTGTATAGCTCAGACACCTGAAGATCTGTTGTTTAACGTACTCCGTCTGGTATTGTATAGCTCAGACACCAGTAGATCTGTGGTTTAACGTACTCCGTCTGGTATTGTATAGCTCAGACAACAGTAGATCTGTTGTTTAACGTACACCGTCTGGTATTGTACAGCTCAGACACCTGAAGATCTGTTGTTTAACGTACTCCGTCTGCGGTATTGTATAGCTCAGACACTAGTAGATCTGTTGTTTAACGTACTCCCTTTGGTATTGTATAGCTCAGACAACAGTAGATCTGTTGTTTAACGTACTCCCTTTGGTATTGTATAGCTCAGACAACAGTAGATCTGTTGTTTAACGTACTCCCTTTGGTATTGTATAGCCCAGACACTAGTAGATCTGTTGTTTTACTTACCTCATTTTGGTATTGTATAGCTCAGACGCCGGTAGATCCGCTGTATTACGTCCCAGTTTGTGATTACCTGAATGACTACATTTGTGCACCAATCAGAAGAATATTTGGATGTGACGTAAAATATTCTGCCACTGTACGTATACCAATTTTGGGAACACCGTGATTTCATTTTGCTACAATTGTTTATATTTTTTATGCTTTCCTAAAAGCAGAAAATGTAAATTTCCGAAAGAAAAAAAATTTGGATTTCTTTTTTTAATAATTGATAGAATAAACTTGCTGATCAATAAAGCTTATTTCACCAGTTAAGAAGTGTTTTAGGTAATATAAATTCTGAATGAATTGGAATTCCAATAAAAATCATGTTTTGAGGATAATGTCCTCATATAAAAGCATGTATGAAGTCCAGACGTAATCAATGATGTTTTGTATTTAATTGACAATATATTTTTTCTGTCAGGATACGACTGAAGATGGAACAGCTGTGAATGAACTGATAGAGGCGGCACCTACAAACGGAAATACAATTATATAAGATTTTAAAATGGATATTATAGATCGTTAAAATGAACTAAAACATGAAAGATGTGTATTTCACAGTGTAAATATTTTTCATATTTACCATGCTTTGTCCTTTAGGATTCTCTGGATTTTGTGTCAGATTAATTATTGCTTTAATCAAATATATTAATTTTAAATTAAGGTGCCTTTTCTATGATGCAACCAGATATCGATTGTTCTATAAGTATCATTATTATCAATTATCAAACGATGACGTGAGCGTTTTAATACCCCGACGGCTGATTAATTGAAAACAAGTCAATGTGACATTTGTATGGACAAATTATATGTATACTGTTTATATTGTAAACTCATTCTGCAGAACATGTGTTCATTCTTAAGAACAGATAATTTCATTCCAAAGGACATGCATTCATTCTTTAGAACAGATAATTTCATTCTACAGAACGAGTGTTCATTCTTTAGAACAGACATTTTCATTCCACAGAACTTGTGTGCATTCTTTAGAACAGATATTTTCATTCTGCAGAACTTGTGATCATTCTTTAGAACAGATGTTTTTATTGTTTAGAACATATCTTTTTTTCCTTAGAAAAATGTTTTCATTACTTTGAATTTATATTGTCATTTCTCAGAAGGTACATTTTCATTCCTTAGATCGTGTTTCTTTCAATAATTGCTTTGATTTGTGCTATGAAAATGTTTACCGTTTTGATTTTCACTGACTTTACTCCTTATGAATGTTTAAAGGTTCCACCAACTGTAGAATTTCTTCCTGGTAAATGTCCTTGATACTTATACTAACTATTTTACAACAAGAAACATATCACACGAAAGGGTGTAAGGGTCGCAACTATGATGTCCTTTAATGACACAGGGTTTCCTCCCATCTACTGTTATTTTGAAATGTACCTACAAAAAGTAAATCAATATTAATTGTGAAATATGAACAAACCAAAAACGATTTTAAAGCATTTTTCGTCATAATGTTTACAATTATTCCAATCCACTAACTATTCAAAGGAGAAACAACCCTCAATACTTGAATAATAGATGGAGACTGTTAATCAGTAAGTTATCAATAAAACCAAGTTACAGTCGAAACTCGATATCTCGAAATTCAAAGGACCGTGGAAAATATTTCGATTTTGACTCAAACGGAGTATATATATAAGCTTAACGATATCACTTTCCAGACGTTGAATACAGTTGAACAAAGTAGGGTTACGATAGCATGCAAGCAGCGTAGTTTAATCTGTTATTTAAAGCGGCAGTAAATAAACAAATACATTTGTTTCTTCTTTCTCCCTTTATTGTTTACTGATGTAAACAACAAACCTGTAAAAACAACTCCGGTCAAATACATTTGTACTCACGATGTTCCGTTCCGCACACGTGTACAATACCCTTGCTGACTAAGCACATATACATTACATATATATATTACAGAATGACAATAAAACAAAATTAAGATTTGCTTATGATACGCTACAAGAAACGATGTATGAAGTTACAGATCAATATGACTTTATTATCAATAAACATTAAAAACGCGGTACTACAAAGTTTTTACCTGTTAAAGAAAAAGATGGTACAAGCACTAGACTTCAGCACTTCATTGTGAAAACACTAAATGTCAAATAGTGACTGATAACAGTCCTTTAGTAAACAAACTCAAAATTAGTTTCTCTTTCATCCTTTTTTATTTTACTTAAATTGTACAAGATTTTAACAAGACACACGGAGACATATGAACACATAGCAATGTTTGACATCATCAACTTCTTTTCCTTCTGGACACCGTTGCATCATCCTCATTATCATCACAAGGTTGGTCTAGTGGCGCACTGGTTATACGCTATTTTCCACTTTGATTGTCTGAATGGATATGTATATCAAGTGTAAGTAGTATTACTTAAATTGCTATTAATATATGATCCCGTGCACTGTCCAACCTTTTATCACTGGTATGGTGAAAAGGTTCCTTGCCGATTGGAAGCGAGGATGTGACAATTTCGACAAAGTGCCATTTGAAGAAGGCAAAGTCCATTGTAAGCAAGGACACTCCCACCATCCACCCTTTAGCGTATTACTTATATTTGCTTCTTGAAGTCGCCTGGCAGGGTGTGGGCTCATTTGCATATAAGGTGTTTGAAGTGAAAACAACTCTGGGAGTTATCGCCCTTAGTTTAACCTGACGTGACACGACAGCGCTTTCTTGACTCTTGACTTTTAAAGTAAACGGACTTGTCTCCAAAAGCGCTGTATCACTTATAAGTTAGGAGCTGGGAGCATCCCTAGAGGGTCCAGTATGTAAACCGAACACCGCCATTCTTTACATTTTGTGTAAGAATTTGGTGAAATTTCGTTGTATTTACATATATCCCTTCTTGTTTTTCTTCTTTTTTTTACCGTCACCGGTGTGTTGTGCTTGTGCACGTGATCGCCATTTTGGCAGCTCGTGGGAACAGGTGTACAATACAACGTGCTATTTTAGGATTTTATTATCTATTTTTTATCAAAGTTTTTTTGCCAATTAACAAAAGTTATACATAGCTGAACTACCCGAAAGTCTAGGTAGACTGCTGGGATTAATATTGGTATTTTGTTTCGTCTTGGAGAAGGATTCGATAGTACTGAAATGGTATTTTGACGTAATATTGAAGTTCGTCTTACCAATGAATGAATCAAATTGATCCCGTCAAGTGTATGTCTCGTCGTTTCGACAAGGCTATTTTTCGGTTTTGTTTCCTTAGATTTGTCGATCTGTTTTACCATTAGAAGGTAGGTAACTCGCGTTTGTTACATTTATCCTGATACGGTTTGTTAATGTAATAAATGGTGGGAGATAAATGTATCCCACAGATAAAGAATGTAAGATGTGAAAATACCTAATCATTATTAAATTTATTTCTTCATGGTGTTGTTTTATCTTAATATACATTCTCCAAAACGTATGTACATTTTTATCTACCTTCTATAGATCACATGTATTCGCCGATATTGTTTTCTATGATACGACTCGTAATTGACCCCATATCCTTGTTAAAGTTTCATAATTTCATATGCTGATTCTATGCTGTCACAGTTTTGTTATTAATTGGCAGGTAATTAAAACTGTAATATAATATGAAAGGCAATAACATGTTAGTGCGAGACATGCGTTCGGTCTACCTTTTCCAGTGATATTTTCTTCTATATTCTTATACATTTAATTAGGAGTATTCTGTGCTTCGTGTTTGTGTTCAGTATAATTAATTTCATGGTCTGAAGAGATCAGGGTACCATAGTAGACGTCTTCACGTGTCACAATCCGACTTCATTCGGGTAAGTATACGTTTGGGTACGCGCGATACGGTAAGTTTGAGCTTCCATACTAAAGCGTTCACCCGGTCATGCAACGATAGACGTGGCATAGAAATGCAGATGCCATTTATTCCTGTAGAAGCGTGAAATATCAGTCACGGTAGGTACACAAACTATTTTTCAATGTATTATGTGAATGTTTATGGTTTCTGGGTTGAACGTGACTGTCGAAAGTTTGATTAAGTGTGTATTATTGAGTTTATATTGTTGTTTACCGGGTACGTTCGTGCACGCGTGTGAGCACTGATTACATCGTTTATAACCTGTATACATCTAAATATGGTTAGGGAACGCTTTATATAATGTTTATATGTATTAGCTTAGGTTTCATTAGTAGTAGTACGAAGTTATAGCGTTATTTTCATATATTGTAGCTTCTGAAGCGGAGATCATATTATCAGGTGGAAAAAGTGCGGCAGCCTGGAGATGCCATGGGTATCGTTACATGAACTTTTGTACTATTAGATCGTACTTTGGTACCACAGAATACAGATCTTTTTTTCTGTTGGAGAAGGAGTAAACTTATGAGCTTGTTACTCTCGATTGGTGGAACAGGCGGCAAACGACGTCTTATGGAGAGCCGGAGATGTAATTTTATTTCAATACATATATACTTTACTGAAGCCATCGGCAAAGGAAAGATCAGATCCTTGGAGGCAACCGTCAGTACTGGTGTATATGGAGATGTGTACATTCTGAAGATAGACCTTGACATTGTATCGAACTGATCATTGCTGCTTTTCCATCTGTGATATTTATCAACTGTGATATGTGACGCTACAAAGACTTTAGGTGTAGAATCGTGTAAATTGTATGGTTTGAAAGCTTAGTGTGAAACCTAATGCATGGTCGGATGAAATGTGAGTGAATGTTATCGTACACAGTAAAAAACACAAAAAAATGTATTGTAAACTTTGTAACTAGTGTAATATATTTGTAAATATTTATTGTTTTGTTGTTGTTTGTGGCAATTGCTCGGCCAGGTTACATCGCGTTTAAGAACAAAAATATTCATGAAATCAAATCCAATTGCAGATCTGGTACTTTTAGTGTCCTCGGCGTGTGATGATGTTAGGATGGTACTAAGAGCTTTCCTTGATATCTAGCTGTCTTATCAGTCTTTATTTAAATAAAAGTTAGTAGGCGTTCCTTAAAACTGCAAGTTTTTCCCGCAGAGAGTTCATGCTAAAAAGTATGATTTATTCGGGTAGCACAGTTCAACATTACACATATACCTCTCTATTGTGTCCCCTTAGGTCTAAACGACATGGGCTCGCACTAAAACCCTGTATATTGATCACTCCTCCGATCGACATCAGTATCAGCCCTGTGCACTGCAGACGTTTTTATAGACAATGTCACATTTATCTAACAAACCTCAGAATCTGTAACTAAAAAATGATAGTCATGATGTTTTGTGACGATGAAGACTTTTTAAACAATCAACAATATAAATGCCTTAGTTCCAGACTATACATACTGTGCCCAAGTAAAAAAAAAAAAAAAAAAAATGGAACTTTTCACTGTTGCATTATCTATGGATTATCGATTTAAACATGCATGCTAGTGATGATTGATTGTATGCTTCACATTTGTATCACTAATATACTGTATTTTTGGCATTATTTTCTGTTATCTCCATGGCTG